AGATGCTGTCGCCAGCAGCGGCTGCGACTGCTCCCGCGGCTCCTTCTGCGGGCGGCGGGACGCCCGTGCGCCCGGCTCCAACGGGCGAGCTGGTCTGCGCGCCCGACTCCTAGAGGCGGAGAGAGCGGCGGCCTCCCCCGCCTGGCCGGGCGCCGGCCCCTCCGCCCCCTCTGCGCTGGCACCTGCCCCTGGCGCAGCTCGCAGCGACTCCGATCCCTCCGCCGGCTCTGCCCTTCCACCTGGTCACCCCACCCTCTCCTCGCGCCCATCCCCCTCGCCCCAGGCCTTCCACTCTCCCAGCCCAGGGTCTGCCCAGGGCTTTGGGGGACTCAAGCGGTGCGTGTGTAAAACCTTTTCTTTTCTTTCTTTTTTTATTTTTTAAAGAAAAACGACAGCTCCCTGGAAGCCTTTCTCCTGTAAGAGTGGCCAGATGTGTGTGTCGTCGTTTCTCTCTCTGTTTCTTCCCACAATGCGCACGCTCCATCCAGAACAACTACGCGTCGCGTGCGCGGCACCAAATAGGCGCCCAGAAAACCCCCGCTTCGTGAACGAGAAAGTTGGGCTTTTAAAAAGGCACCAAGTTGAACCTAGAACCTTGGTGATTTCCTGTTTGGGTGGAGTTTGATTCCAACGGGGCCTGAGCTTTACAAAGAGGGATTTTTCTGGCGCTCCATGAGGGAGCGGCCCCCACTCTGAACTTTTGCCTTGAGCCGGCTGTGAAAGTAGTCCACCCAAGTGAATCCTTGGAGCACACAAGGTCGGCTCTCTCCCGAGATCCTGCGAGGGAATTGATACTCCCCACCCCATGTTCCTTCTGAGAAAGAGGGAGGCGGAGAGGGAACCCGGGCCTGCACTCCTGGCTCCTCCGCATAATGACCTGATGGAGAAGGAAGGCTGTTTCACTGAAGAGGCGGCCCCACCCTCTTGAATGTTCAGGAAAATACATCTCTGTCTTGAGCTGCTTGTCCAGGCAGCAAAACTTCCCATGCATGGTGATCCTCCTCTTTACCGCCTTCCATTGCTGGAGTCAAGACCCTCAGACACACTTTGGTGGGTTCGGATTGGAGTTCTTCCCACCTGTGTGTGGTTTCGTGGGTGACTCTTGCAGCCATTGCCAGCCCCTCATCTGTAAATGAAGACAGCCATTGGGCCTTCTCCATGGCGTCATTGTATGGCTTTAAGTGAATTAAAGTATAGCACCTGCTTAGGACAGCAGCTGCTAGAAATATACTTACTTCTTGGTTTCAGGAGCACCCTGGGGTAGGTTCGAGACTGTTGACGAGTGAGACAAAAATAGCCAAGTATGGGAAAGGAAGATACCAGAAAAGGACCTTTTTCGGGATGATAGGATTGCCGGCTGGGTATGGGGAGGGGCCTTTTTTAGGGTTTGACCCACCTCCTTCTTTTTATCTGGAATTAAACCTTAACTGGTCTCCAGTTTCAGAGAAACGTTTCAGTTTCTAAGTCATGGTCAATGGTTGAAGGAGTCAGACACTGAACCGTGGTGCCTGCACAGTAACTGGCGAGCTGGTTTGCATTTTTCCCGGCCCCGCAAAGGACACGGGCATGAAGGCATCACAAGTCTTGTGCCTTCCATTCTCCCCCACCCCTGGGGTCATGCTCCCTGAGTGGACTCTTTTGTCTGGCCTCAATTCAGGGAGCAATATGCCTAACTCGATGGGAGATTAACTAAGCACATTTTCCCTGCCCTATAAAGGTCAAGGGCAAAACTGTGTGGAAGTCAGATACCAAGTGTGAATGGGGTTGGAGCGGGAGAGTGGCAATGCTGCAGGCAGGATTGGCCAGTCAGATGCCCCGCTCCTCAGGTTTGTCTACCTCTCCTTTCCCCTCCCAGAATCCAGCCTCTTCCTTCTGCTCCTGCTCCGACTCCACATCTCGGCTCCTGGCTTCCCCACCAGCCTCTTGTACATCCCCGCAGTTCACACCAGCTTATTCCCAGCTGCTGTTGACTAGGCTCCATCCTTCGGTCTCAAGCCTCCCGTTGCAAACCCATCGCCCCTTCCCATTTCTCCTCCCCTCGAATGTCCCCGGGGCCTCATGGTTTCTTAGACTCTTGCAGACAGGCTCCTACCTGGTCTCTGTTTCCAATATGGCCCATTTCGGGGCCCACCCTGTGTTTTGACGTCATCAGAACCCTTGCCCGAGTGATCGCTGTAGCATTTGGATACAACCCTGCTGCCCTCATGGTTGAAGAGTCTTCCTAACTTCACCTTGCCTCTGGATTAGCTCACCCTGATGTGACTTTTCATGGTCTCCTTTGCCAGCCTCGTCTCCCACCTCCTTTATATGACACCCCTTCCCCCCAGTGTTCACCCAGTGATGCTCTCTCATCGTTGATGTTTCTATCTCTCTCTCCCTTTCCCTTCCTCTCTGAAACCCATAAAAAAGCGAGAAAGAAAGAAAGGAAAATGATCTGAAGGATATATTACAAACTGTTAAAATTTGACTACGTTTTTTGCTCAAAGTCACTAATCCTCTGACAGATGCAAATCAAAACGACCAAGTTTTATATGACTGGGGAAGTCATATAAAGCAGAGGTGGGAGGTGAGGCTGGAAAAGTTGAGTGTAAATGTATGGAGGATGGTTATATTATTCTCCATACTGTCCTGTATACTTAACAATATTTCATTTAAAATGTCATATGTGTAATTGTTGCATTATTGTACCTAATTTGATCATTTTAAAAAAATATTTCCATTTAAGGTATCTGTTTGCAGGTCAGAAAATTGTAATTGTGAAATGCTCTGAAATGTAAAAAAAAAAAAAAAAAAAGCTATAAGTAAAATCGACTAAATCCAAAAATAACAAAAAAAAACTTGATTTACCTGTGGCCTCATATCCTGGCTTTTGCTATCTTCTTAAAGAGATGGTTGAACCAACATGTTGAGCTTTGATATTAAGAATAAACAGGTTAATAAAGATCAGCAGTCAAGAAAGTTGCATCAATTTTTTTTTAAAAAGTACAGGATAGAGGGCAAAAAATGTGTGTAAGAATAACCTTGACTTAAATTAGCTATGTTTATATTTTGAATCGGAAGAAATCCATACACTCGTGTAGCTGATTTCAGATCATGTAATTCTTCTAAGCAGCACCCTGTACATTATGTGAGTTTTTATACCAGACTAACAACAGATGTGTTTTCCCTGCTTCAGTTTTTACTCCCTTGACAGCACATCTATTTTCAGAAGGAGGGAAGTTGGGATTTGGGGGGTCTTTAGAAAGCCGTGTCTTAAAGTATTTCAACTGTTGTCTAGCAACTCATAATCCAGTATGTGAGTCCACAACTCGTGGGTGAGACAAACATTAAACAAATGTTACACAAATCAATATCTTGGACGGGCTCAAAGGTCAGTGTCAGAACATCAATACAGCGAAAATAAATAGAAATGACTCCAAAAGCTTGGAAAATTAGAATAGGTCTTGGCTCAGTAACTTCGGAGGGGGTGGAGAAGTGAGAATTCCACTAGTGAGGTATGTGATGACCCTCTACTTTTCTAAACACCCTTAATACAGACCTCTCTCTTCACAAAGTCCATGCTTTATGGTCTCACCTTCTCCCTTTCTTCCCTCCATGTCCCGCCTCCACAACATGCTTGTACCTCTTCTCTTTATTCCATCACTCCCCAATCCTTTCATATGTAGGGCAATCTGCTCTATTCCTGCTGGCTGCCATTCCCCTCTTCATTTCTTTTAAAAATATATAAATATATAAATATATATAAATATATATAATATAAATATAAATAATATAAATATAAATATAAATATGCCTAAGCGACCTTTACGGCAAAATGACCAGAATAAGCCAGTCACTTTGATGCACACTGACCAACAGGGGCAGACGCTCAATGCAGGAGCCCCTGGTGGTCAGTGAGCTCCCACAGGGGGAGCACCACTCAGCCAGAAGCCGGGCTCACAGCTGGCAAGCACAGTGGCCGTGGCAAGAGCCTCTCCCGCCTCCATAGCAGCGTTAAGAAGCAGTGAGCCGAGCATTAAGGATTAGCGAGCAGGTGGGCAGTAAGGAGCCAGGGCTCCTGGACTGTGAGAGTGATATCCCGGACTGTGAGCAGGCCTAAGCTGGCAGTTGGATATCCCCCAAGGGGTCCTGGACTGCGAGAGGGTGCAGGCCTGGCTGAGGGACCCCCTGCCCCCCAGTGCATGAATTTCATGCACCAGGCCTCTATATATAATTATATATAATTGATTTCAGAGAGGAAGGGAGAGGGAGATAGAAACTCAATGATGAGAGAGAATCACTGATTGGCTGCCTCCTGCATGCCCCCTACTGGAGATCGAGTGCACAACCTGGGCATGTGCCCTTGACTGGTCTCAAACCCGGGACCCTTCAGTCCACAGGCCGACGCTCTATCCACAGAGCCAAACCAGCCAGGGCCTCCCTCATTTCCTTTTGATTGCTCAGCTCTGCTGAAGACGGCAACTCTGAGCCGCAGCACGCGTGTGTCGTCAGAGGGCTCGGCTGCCCCTTTCATGATGCATGTATATTTAGTTACATGAACAATACACAAATATTTTATCTTTGTATAATACTTGGACACTATGCAACATTTTAGAGTAAAAAGTGGGACCCCCCTCCCCTGCTCCCTCTCTCAGTTCCTTCCCCAGAGGTAGCCACTGTTGGCTGGTTACAACTCCTTTCAATATATCGTCTAATTGAACAGTTTTCCCTCTACCTTATTAGTAATTAAAGGAATGCAAATGGAAACAATTGA